TCAGGCTTTTAGGCTGAAACGACACAGGGCCTGTAGGCCCTCGTTTTCAGGCTTTTAGGCTGAAACGACACAGGGCCTGTAGGCCCTCGTTTTCACGCTTTTAGGCTGAGAACGCTGGTTGGGCCCTGCAGGCCCGAATGGCTGCGCAATATGCCACAAGTAAGGTCTAGGGATCGAGCCCTAGAATCTGCATCTGTTACTGCAAAGGTGAAAACCGTTTCAGGGGGATGGGGCGAGGGAAGGGGTGGGCTAAGTGCGGAGAGTTCCGGGAGGGGATGTCGAGGTTTGTCCTTCTCCTAGCAGGCCCACGACAGCCTCCTTAGGCAGCAGGTGACAGGGTGCGATGATGCCTCCCGGTAGGCGCCTTGGGGGACCTCCAGAACCTGAGTTCGAGTATGGCGCATCCTGCTCTTGGCGATCGTGTAACATCCATCCCGGTTGATACCTACCTTCTGGTGTGTGTAGCTGACGCTGTGGGCTTTGCGCTTGAGTGTTCTCTGTGCGTGGGTGGGTTCACAGTGCCAACAGGAGGCCGAACTCGGTGTGTCCGCCTATCTATGTCCGATATTGAGATGCGTGCGCAGAAAGCGGAAAGAGAGAGAAGGGAGAGAGAAGGTGTACTTTTTGAGAGTGTGAGGAGGGGTAAGAGGAGTGTTCGTCCAAAAGTGAGCAGAGTGCGGACCCCTCTTGAGAGATCTACTGACACCCTATCCTCCGGCATGGCAGACATCACGTCCGAGCAATGGAAAGCCATGCTGGACACAGCGGCCGAGAACGAGAAACCTTTCTTTCAGAAACTTTATAAGGACGCAATACACAGAGAGAGGGAGGCAGAGGCAGCAGCCAGAGCCACAACTATTGCTGAACAAGTGGCCCTCCTTGAGGTTCCGGAATCGAATGATGACCGGTTTGCAGGGTGAGATAGTCAGCCTCAAACAGTCCCAATTGTCTGCCCCCCATCCTCCTAATCCTCGTCCTGTTCGATCGTAAGAGCTTCCGCTCTTCAAACGACAAAAACCGGCAATCGGCGAACCCTATGGAAGACTTCATCAGATCCAATGGATCCGGGTTTCAAAAGACTCTTTGTAGTCCCAGTGTCTCAACCTAACACAGTCCTCATGTCTAGAGCAAGTGGAACTGTGACGAGCGCAGGAACCGGCACCAGTACCTCAAGCGGCAGCGCCGACAGTTCTGCACTGGTCATAGTCCCAAATGAAGGAACATCAGCCCAAAATGTCGCAGTCCTTACTGACGTAGAAGACAGCGGTCCCGTAGTGCACAAGAGGGCAGCCACTCTGCCGTCCAAGTACGACGGGAAGGGGGACATCACCTCTTGGATTAGCTCCATGTGCTCATACTTCGAGGTACTGCGAACMCCGCAGGAAGACCGAAGCATGATCATGGGCACAAATACTGAGCCCGCCGTACGGAGTTTCATAGAACTCCAAGCTGTTACTGCAGGTTATGAGAGAATTGACCTGACTGAGTGGCTGAAAGTAACTCCTGTACGTACTCTTGAGGACCTCCTCATCGCGCAATATCAAGATAAGCACGTTGCGCTGAAGGCAAGGCTAAAGCTTGAGGCCCTCAAGGGTCAAACGTGGAGGACTTCCATGCAAGCTTTGGAGCAGCACGTGACTGGTCTGTTCACCACTCCAAACTTGGGATGGACTGACGTGTCCTGCATGGATGTAGTTATGGGAGTGGCCCCTAAAGAATATGTCTCCCGGCTAGGACTCAAAGCCCATACGACTTGGCGAGAGCTACCGATGGATCTAGTCAATCTAGAAGCCAAGGACCTCGCCAGGCGTGCAAAGGCACCCGCTGCAGGTAGAAAACCTCGCAATGCAAGCGGTACGGAAGCAGCAACCAGCTTGCCCTGCATGAACATCGGGAGGCTGAGGATCAGTCCTATGCGGATGATCTGTCTCTAGATGACGATCTAGAGCCTCCGACGTGGGCTGTTCTACATCAGCCCTTGAGTCTGACATGAACATTGAAGAAAAATGCAATGCCTTTAAAAAGACTGCTTCAAGCAAGGGGCCTAACCGTAGTTCGAGTAAAGGGACTATAGCACACCTCCCCAAAAATGCAAAGATCCCTGAGAAACCGGAGGATGCTTCTACCAAGCCTTGGGAAGCCTTCCGCATCAGTCAAAAGGAATGGGAGAGAAGATCCAAACTGCGCGCGTGCTTGCATTGTCAAAAGCCTGGGCACGTTGTGCAGAACTGTTATCGTCTGCAGGGAAACAGGCAAAGGGCGTAGAAGAGTCATCAACACTCTCTACAACAGGGGAGGCTGAACCGTCAGTTGCAGGTCCCTCCAAGGAGCCTGAATCTGATCAACAGCCTGCTCTTGAAGCCCGGACCGACGCTGAATCCAAGGTTGTTGCAGTTCAAGTACTTTACATCGAGCCTTGGGAGGAGACTAAGGAAGTTGACTTCCACTCTCACGTGGAACATTGGCTGCAGCTCAAGCAGCAACGCCGTGTTCAAGGGAGTGTGGAACTGACCTTCTTTAAGTTGCTCATGAACTGCCGATACATCCGTGTGCTGATTGATAGTGGCTCAACGACTAACTTCTTTTCTCCTAACGGGATTCGTGAGGCGGGCCTTGGAATGAAGCAAGTGGAATTGCAGAACCCTTGTCAGACCCACGTGGGCAACCAAGAGGTTGTCACCTCAACACATGTTGTCAAAGGTGTGCGCATCACTTTTGACAAGGATCGCACTGTCACACATGAGCAGAACTTTTATGTCTTGGACAAGTGTCCTTTCGACGTGGTCATTGGCTTGGGCTGGTTAAGGGCGGGTGCGTGATGCCAGGGGGAACGAGCGTACCGTTCTATTGGACGAGACGCGCAAGTCCCCTTGTGACTCTTTTGAGTGCAAAAAAATTCTGCAAATCAGTGCGCAAGGAAGCTGTTATCGCAGCAATGAACAAGCGTCAGCATGCCATGATCAAACATGCTAACAAGTCGCGCAAAGAAGCGAACTTCAAACTAGGGAGTTATGTCTGGGTCAAAATGTCTGAGTTTTCTGATGAAGAGGGCGTATCACGAAAGCTTCTTCCATTGTACTATGGCCCTTGGCAGGTTCTTAAGGTGATTGGGGATGAATTTGGTCCTTCGTATGTGATTGACGTGCCTCCTCATTTGCGCACATATCCGGTCTTTCACGCATCCAAACTGTTTCCACACATCGATGATGAGACTTTTCCCTTCCAAGATCCTATGATACCTCGTCCTATCGACGGCGGCCATGAGATAAGACAAAATTGTTTCCCATGAAGGAAAAGGGAGGAACAGACAGTACAAGGTTCACTTCCTCTATCACCCGCTGAACGAGTTTTTCTGGATCGACCGGAAAGAGCTGCTAAAGAATGCTCCACGAGTGGTTAACGCCTATGAACGACAGATCGCTGATAGACAGACTGCTAAGTTTCTGCAAAACTCACTCCTCACGGTCTTACTTAATCTCTCTTTCTAATCAACGCCTACGATGCATTTTGTGCCGACTCTTGATGAGTTACTCGCTCGAAGGGACCTCGCTCTTGAGAGGGGGGTAGTGTAATGACCCGCCAAAAACACAGACTGATAACACTGCTGATTTCTGGGATTTGTCGCTGGAATGAATGCCTTGCTGAGATTCCCGCACTCTGCTGTGATTTCCATGTCTGTGTGTGTGTGCGTGCTTACTGGTTTGCATCCCTGTCTGAGTGCTTGTCGGCTGAGTGTGTGTGTGACCCGCAAGGGTACTTGTTGGTTGAAAGGCCCCGTAGGGCCGGTACTTACCTGTGGCCGTGACTTTGAGAGTTGCAGCGGGGAAAACACTAGAGCAACGGGGGTAGGCCCACGACACTTAGAGCAGAGGGGAAAAACACTCAACTAGCAGGTAGGCTGGTACCACTCAAGTAGTGGCAGAAGTGTCGGGCACTGGAGGCCGAGTAGAAAAAGACAAAGAGTTGGCATTTTTAGAGGCCCAGTAGCGGTAGGCTAGAGGTAGGCCGGTACCAGTCCAAGTAGCCCGGGTCTAGGGCCTGTCCGGAGGATAGCAGAGCCTGCAATGATGATTCCCTCCGAAAGGGAGTTGGTACCGGTTGCTGGGAGGCCGCTCGGCCTAGGAAGTCACCGCCCAAGAGGCCAGTAGGCCACTATATCTTCGGGAGGAGCAAGTAGCTCCTCCTCATTTGCGGTATGCAAGGATTGGCGACATGCTGCTGGAGCGCTAGCGCTGGTCTGCTACAGCGCTGGGTGGAGGTGAAGGCAGCTGGGCGCTCAGCCTGGCTATGGCGAGCAGCCCAGTGTGAGGAGGAGGAAGAAGGAGGTTGAGGGAGAGAGTGGCGAGGCACTTACCTGGCTATGGTAGACACCATCTTCATTACCTTGTTGGGCGCTGCATCTGGAAGGCCCCAGTTGGGGTAGTGCCGCACCAAGGAAGCTCGAGGCAGAGTTAGGCATGGCGGTTCAGTCAGCAGCGGCATAGCTGTTTTGGGTTGTCCTTTGGACAGGAGTGCAGCGCCATAGCTGCTTTGGGTTGTCCTTTGGAAAGGAGTGCAACGCCATAGCTGCTTTGGGTTGTCCTTTGGACAGGAGGGCAGGGCCCTCAGTAGTCCGCCATAGCCTAGGCATGTGAGAGGAGGAAGGAGGGAGGCCATAGCTATGGTGGACTTGTTGTTGTTGTTGTTGTTGTTGTTGTTGTTGTTGTTGAGTCAGCAGTAAGAGGGAACTTCGGATATTGATTCTGGTTCATCCACTCATTGTTATTATTATCGTTGGAAGAAGAATAAGATTGGCGAAGTGAAGGAGGAGGAGGAAGTTGGAGAGAGAAGGGGGGATTTGTCATTGGTCTTGCTGGTGTTCTTCTTCTTCTTGTTGTTCTTCTTCTTCTTCTTTCCCTCTTCTCTGGTCTCTATGTCTTTGCAAGTGCTTTCATTTCTTTTGCAATTGGGTGGCATTGTCTTTCATTGTGAATTTGCACTTTGGGAATGACCAGGATCGTAACAATTGTTTTTAATTCGAAATTCGTCGGTCCCTAGTGTTGGACAACATCATCATCATTATCATCATCATCATCATTATCATCTCCTTCTTCTTCCCATCACCTCCCACCTCCACTTCATGTGTTCTTTTTTTTTCTTAATCCGGAAATTTGTGGGGCTGATATCTTGGACAAAATCATCTTCTTGCTTCTCCTCCTCCTCCTGCTTCCAACCATCACACCCCCATCTGAGTGTTTTTTTCCCCCCAAACGTTTGCCCCATACTTGCCGCGCAGGGTCGCGGCACATGCGAGCGCACGCGTGATGCGGCGCATCACCAAAAAATAAATAAAAAAATTGAAAGGATAGGGCGGGGTGGCCAAGCATGCCCCTCGCTTCTAAAGGATAGGGAGGGGTGGCCACGCCATACCCTGAAACTGTGGGCACATGTCTGTGCTTGTGGGTGTGCATGTCCTAATTGTGTCTAGTCTCTTTTTCGAAGGGACCCTACAGCGAATTAGCAAGGGCCCCACGTGGAGCAGAGATGAACGTTAGACTTCCAGTTTGTATGTGTGGGTTGAGAATATGTAGTATGTATTCGAATTCAGGTCTGTGCATCACGGTCATGGTTCAGTAATTCTCTTTTTTCTCGTGTTTCTTTTCTTAGGAATGACCCACAACGTATTAGCCAAACAAATCAACAAAATAGGCAGATGGGGCAATACCTCACATCCCTACTTGGTCGTGCACTTACCATCAACACCTCTATCTCCTTGATGATGTGGTATATAGCCTCAATCTGGATGGTACCAGATAACACGATTAATGAACTTCAAGTGAACCCGTTACCGCGGCCCAGCGCCAGCTCGACCGCAGGCACGACCGTTATCTGGCCCTGGCGGGATCAAGGGTGTTTGTTTTAGAACATGAGGAACGGGAGGCATTTCGGGGGGCATCGGCCAAGGCATCAGCACGCCGTCGGATCCTTTGTAAATCAAAACTATTTTATTGTGGTCGCCGCTGGATTCAAACTCACGTGTGCAATTCAACAGTTTCAAAATGAGAAGGAATCCTCTGCAAGAGCATAGGACGATACACCGCGACGGACAGATACATTGAAAAGAAATCCCCGTGTGAGTATGGACTAAGGAGCTGTCACATGCAAATGTCGCCTCCCCCGCATGTGCGCGCGCTAGAGAGAGAGAGAGAGCGAGAGAGAGAGAGAGAGAGAGAGAGAGAGAGAGAGAGAGAGAGAGAGAGAGAGAGAGAG